GCCCCTTTGCCACGCCTGCCTTTTCAGCCCTTCAAGCCTGCATGCTCGGTACAAATACTGCACTTGAATACGGGCATCCCGCTGTCCGTCTTTGTGAGAAGTAGCCAGGGATATGAACCCGGCCAGCGTGAATTGAGCTTGTCTAGGGCCTCACCGCATTGCTTGTCGATCGTCAAGCGCCTCACCACAAGACTTCCCTGGGAGGTCCTCTTCAGCACTTTCCTCCTTGGATTTAGAAGAAGAGGGCGGGTCGGGCATATCCACTGGAGGCGCGAAGGGGAGCCGAGATTGCCGGTACATTCTGAAGCGCTTCGATGGTGTAGGCTCAAGCAGTCGATCGTCAACAGCAGAAGTGGCGCGTTGTGCAGCAATCGACCCTGATGGCCCAACGACAGGGGGACAGCGGCATGCTATCTGGCTGCTGGCGTTCCCTTAGGTAGCAGTGTTGGCTCGTGCTCGGCAGGTCTCGGCGACGGGCCCTGAATAGGAGTAGGTCTAGGTCTATGAGCATGTCGACCTCTAAGACGTGGCAGTCGTCGTCCTCCGTGGCGAGCTCGTTATCGCCACTTGATTCTGCCATCACGAGCGAATCGAGATTAAATCAGTAGCGGAACGGTACTCTGGCAGTTGAGAAATAGTTTTGGAAGAGGAACAAACGAGACTGGTGAGGAGTTGAGCGTGTCAACATATATTTGTATATGTTTATAGGCTAGATAGGTGCATGCTCTTAGGGAGCACAACACCATAGCACAAAACCACCCTGTATGCTTCTTTCTAGTCATTGTGTTATTCTCAGATGGTAACACGCTAGGTTAGGTCCCCTCCCCGCTTACGCTTCCGCCCCTAGCCCTAGCCCTAGCCCTAGCCCTAGTCCTAGCCGCGCCAACGCCCTAGCCCTAGCTGTGCCACGCCGCGCCCGAGCCGCGCCCGCGCCGTCCGCGCCTTGCCCGCGCCGTCCGCGCCGTTCGCGTCGTCCATGCCGCGCCGTGCCGCGCCCGCGCCGTCCCAGCTGCGCGCGCCGTCCGCTCCATCCGCACCGTCCGCGCCTTCCGCACCACGCCCGCGTCATCCGTGCCATCCGAGCCACGCCCGCACCGCTCGTACCGTCAGAGCCGTCCGCGCCTGCGCTGTCCGCGCCAAGCCTCTCGATATCCTTGGGGTCACCCTGCAGTTTCCGAGTTTGCCCGGGATCCAACTCGTCCAGGCTGGGTAGCCCTAAAAAGTTTGACTGTTTTTGCATGCAAGAGTTTCGTCCAGCTCAGAATAAGCCACTCGTGACAATGACAGGGGGAGAAGTTTTAGTAGGGGCGCGAACGTTAACATTAGATTTTACAGGGCGGGTCTATCCCGTACTCGGAAATTGACCGTGGGATAATTCTGGCTTGCCTGTCCATGGACGGGTATCGATATTCTGAATGCATCAAAAGCAGGGCTAGGTTATGTTTTCCTTGACAAAGCAGTGTTATTACCTTGACTTCTAGAGGCCTGGTCTGCACTGTCCGCACCGCGCCTGCCCCGCCCACGCCGTCCGTGCCGTTGGCGCCGCGCCCGCGCTGTTGGCGCCGCGCCCGCGCCGTCCGTGCCGTCCGTGCCTGAGCTGGCCTCGCTAGTCCGCGCTGGCCCCGCTAGTTCGCGCCGGCCCTGCTGGTCCATGCCGGCCCCGTCCCTTCGAGCCAGCCCCGTCACTCCACGCTGGCCCCGTTACTACCGCCGGCCCCGCTAGTCCGCGCCGGCCCTGCCACTCTGCGCCGGCCCTACCACTTTGTGCCGCCGAGTCGCCGCGCTGCCGAACCGCCGAGCCGCCGGGTCGCCGATCCATCGAGTAGCCACGCCGCCGAGTCGCCGTGCTGCCAAGCCGCCCAGTAGTCCGCACCGATGCGCCGCCGAGCCGCCGTGTTGCCGAGCCGCCCCCGACCCGCCGGCCCTGGTCCCCTCCTCTGCGCCGGCTCTTCCGTCGGTCGTCTCCACCGCTGCTCTCCACCGCTCCCCACCGCCTCTTCTCCTCCTCTTCTAGCGGCGGTAAGCTGCTGCAGCCGTGGCAATGGCGGATGCCGTGCTCCGCATCGACGCGGAGGGTTAGGCGATCGACTTTGAGACGTGGCTCGACGACCTCCGCCGCTCGCTGAGTGGACAGCATCAGGATGGCCAGTCTTTGGCCGTCCATGTCGACAGTAAGATCCCCTGCCCCGACCCACCTGCTTCCCTCTCTGACACCCCCACGCCCGCTGAGTGTGAGGCCTTTGCAGCTCTAAGATTGCCCGCTCTGTCTGGGAGTCGCGTAATGCAGTTGCGCAGCTTGCTATCAATCGCGCCCACCCCCTGTCTGAGCGCCCCCGCTACCAGGCCCTAAAGACTGCAAAGGAGTACTTAGATGCCGTTATTGCGCGCTATTCCCACTCCCTCCTCCGCCTTGGCCGGCTGTCTTCTTCTCCCCCTGCTCTTCCCTGACCTTGCGTCCTTTCCGACTGTCACTCATCTCGCCACTCACCTGCTCACGGTAGAGGCTAGCTGCCACGCTGCTAGCACTGAGACTCAGCTCCTTGTACTGCCTCCCCCCCTCGGTGCTACCCTCTACTTCCTTTGCCACGGGCTTCTTGACCGCCTAGCCCCTGCCCGCGACCACTTCCTTGGGCCTCCACCCGCTGACCTCACCCCTCTTGACTTTGTCACTACCGTGACTGCGATAGAGACTCGCCAGTGCACTATCGCTCAGGCGAGGGGTACTGCGGTGGTCCCTATCTTCCAGGGCTCTCTCCCAGTGCACTTACTCTGACGTCTATGCCGCTGTTGTTGAGATGGCCTCTCTGCGGCGGCCTCAGTGCAGTCTCATCAGTGTAGGGGACGCCGGCCCGTGGGGGGCGTGGCGGCGGGAGGGTGGCGGGTGCCGGGGGTGGCTGAAGGTGGTGGAGGGGATGTGGTGATGACGAGGGACCGGGGCTGGTGCCCTGGGCGAGCAGCAAGAGCAGCAACAGCAGCAGCAGCAGCCCAGCAGTAGCAGTCGCAATAGCAGCAGATACATCCGTGGGGACCCCCGCCGCTGTGGTGGCCTAGAGGCTCTGGTGGTGGTGGTCGTGGTGGTGGGCCATGAAGCTCGGTGTTGAGTGGCAGCTCCAGTGTCGTGACCTGCCAGTACCAGCTTCAGTCTAACCCCCACCGCGGCATCGTCTGCGACCGTCCCGGTCACGCCGCTGCTCGCTGCCGCCTCGACGGCCTCTTTCGTCTCCGGTTCGGCCCTGCGTCGGACCACCCCGACTGACACAGCCTGGTACGTCGCCGTGTGTCGGTCTTTGAGATGGATATGGATCAGATTCGTTCTGCTATGTATGCCATGAATGCTGATGATTCTAGTGTGACTGGACCCTATTACCCTGTGTTGCCTAGTGTAGGTGTGTCCACTCTATGTAGTTTAGGCTCCCCTGCTGCGTCAGGTGTAGGACCTCCTGCCTTGTTTAGCCTGGAGAATGAGGGAAGTGCACACTTGTAAGAGAACCCCAGGGAGCCGCTGGAGAGAGAATGGAGGTGGAGGTACTTGCAACTACCGGACCGGAAGCGGGGTCAGCAAGAGCGACAGCTGCAGGGGTGGCAAGCGGTGTGAGCGCAGTGTGGTCACGAAAGAAGTAGTGGGACACGCCAGAGTCAAGCGTAAAGGTAGCGTCAGCTGGCGGAGGGACTAGGTTGGAGCCCTAGTGAGTGTCGGCCATCTTCAGGACCTCGTGCCATTACTACGTTTCCTAAACACTAGCGGTACGCAATCTGTACCGAGGCTGCCACTGGTGCCCCTCTCACCACATTCCCCCGGGACACCGCGTCCCCTCCGGTGGGAGCATCACACTAGGTGGCTGCACCCTCCCAGGTCACTGCGGCTTGCTCGTGTCGGTCGCTCACGCACCTGTCTCTACTGTGGAACCACCGCCTAGGTCACCCCGCACTACAGCGTCTGTGTCACATGTCCCAGCACGGTCTTGTTTTAGGTCTCCCTACGTCACTCCCTACTCTCCCTCCCTCACCTGCGTCACCGTGTACGCCCTGCGTTGAGGGCCGGCTGCGCCGTGCTCCTCCCTCATCCTCGCTTGCCCCTACCACTGCGCTACTCCATACCCTGCACCTGGGCCGCGTCGAGAGCGCTAGTTTCTAGTGCTTGTTGACGACTACACGCATGATACCACGATGTTTTCCCTGGAGTGGAAGGCCGACGTGCCTGACGTTGTTATCCCGTAGGTCGTAGCTGCGCGAGTCCACCGTGGCCTCCCTGTGTTGCGTCTTCACTCCGTTCGTGGTAGGATCACCCAGTCGTACACCCCACCGGACTCCCCGCAGAACAATAGGATCGCTGAGCGACGCATCGGTTTGGTCATAGAGGTGGCTCGTACCTCCATGATCCATGCTGCTGCACCCCATTTTATGTGGTCATTAGCTTTTCGCTATGCTGCTCACCAGCTTAACCTATGGCCACACTCCCAGCAGCCGCAAGTTTCGCCGACCCTCCTCTAGACCAGGTCCCTGGGTGACGTGGCTGCGTTCCACGTCTGGGGCTGCCTCCCTCACGTTCGTCCCTCTAGCACGGACAATCTCACTGCCCAAACTATCCTTCTGTCTTCCTTGGCTTTCCCCCTAGACGTGTCTGACTGGCACTTTACCACCCGCCGTCTCACCGCTTCTTTCAATCTCATGGCGTCGCTTTAACACTTGCGCTCCCCACCGAGGTCTCCCGGTTACCCCTCCCCTGTTCCTGGTCCCCACCTCCCCCAGTAGCCCCCTGCTCCTCTCCCTCCCCGTCCTGCCTTTCCCAGTGTGTCGCATGTCACTCCCCTCCCGGTAGAGGAGTTGCTTACTCTGGGGCCCTTGCGGCTCCGGTTTCGCCGCCTGTCTCTGCCCCAAGTGTCCCTGGTCACATGATGATCGAATGTGTCGAGGAAAAAGTTGCACTATCGATTGATACAAGGTGCTTTTATACTTCCAAAGTACATCAGGTAACCAGGTTTATCCTATCCAAAAGGAATAGACCCTTCTAGAAATAGAATCACCCTGCGTATAGCCACGCGAGGCTATGGCTTTAAGGGATTACGGCATGATTACGCTAGATATAGCGAGCCAGTACACCCCGAGCCTGGTCGGTGATATAGTATAAATAAGAGGATAAACCAAAGGTTTATGGAAAAGGAGGAATATGAATCCAAATGGAATCAGATAAAAAGCAAAGGATCAGGATAAAAGAGGAATGAAATGGAAAGAGAATGGAACGGGGTCGTACTCTCACACTTCCCCCCCCTCAAAGCTGGGGTAGACGTACACCCTGCTTGACAAAGTAGTCACGAAGAGGGCGACGAGTGTGATCCATCTCGGATTCAGAGACCCAACTAACTTCTGAAGGATCATAACCCTTCCAATGGATGAGAAGCTCCACGGTGCCATTCCGTCGACGGTGGTAGGCAAGCACGGACTCGACCTCGTACTCGGGTTCATCATGGACGAGACGGGCGGGCGGCGGCGGCGGTTGGCGTCCAGAGAAGACCGTGTTGGGATCTCGGTAGGGCTTCAAGAGTTGGACATGGAAGGCGTTGTGAATCTTCCAGGTAGCTGGTAGGCGTAAGCGGAAGGTAACAGGAGTGACCTGTGCTTCAACGAGAAAAGGCCCGCAGAAGCGAGGTCGCAGTTTGGATGGGAGATGGCTGATGTCAAGATTGCGCGTGTCGAGTAGTACTCGGTCTCCCACGGTGATGGTGTGGTCTGTGCGGTGGCGATCGGCCTGGCGCTTCTGTTGTTGCTGAATGTCGAGAAGGCGCTTGTGGGTCCGATCCCAAAGTTTGTGCATGGTCGTGATGAAATCATGTGCGGGTTGGACTGTGGCTGGTATGTTTGGCTGTTGAGGTGTGAGTGGGTGGCGTCCGTAGCAGAGGAAGAACGGCGTCTGTCCAGTAGCGGCGTGAGTAGCATTGTTGTAGGCAAACTCCAGACGGGCAGATGCAAGTCCCATTTGGAGATTCGTCCTTGCAGGCTGCGCGGAGGAGTTGCTCCACAATTTGGTTAGGCGCTCGTCTGTCCGTCTCTCTGCGGATGGTATGCGGATGACATGGCGAGTTTGGTTCCGAGTAGAGACATCAGTTCTTTCCAGAATTTATGGTGAACTTAGGGTCTCGGTCGGAGATGAGTGTGGTTGAATGCCATGTTCTGAGATGATGTAGCGAACAAAGAGTTGTGCTGTCTCCTCGGTGCGTGCTGTCGTGTGTGTCGGGATGAAGTGTCCCATTTTGGAGAACTTGTCAATGACGACGAGGATCGCGTCATGACCGCTTGTGGTAGTTGGTAGCCCGGTGATGAAGTCTAGGCTGACCACTTGCCATGGCTGTTCTGGGACAGGAAGAGGCTGTAGCAGTCCCGCCTTTTTCTGCTTGCTGCTCTTCATCCGCTGACATGTAGTGCACGAGGTGACGAATTTCTGTACGTCACTGCCATGTGGGGCCAGTAGTAGTGTTTGGCGATACCGAGCGTCTTGTTGCTACCGAAGTGTCCCGTACAGGACGTCGTGGTATTCTTCGAGTAGTAACTGGCGCAATGGAGGGTAATTAGGTACCCAGATCTTCGTTGATCCTTTCCGGTACGCGATGTCGTTGTCCCACTGTAGCAGATGTCTTTTCTGCCAAGGGAATTTCGGGGTCGATGGTGTACCCGTGTGTGAAGAGTCCCTTGAGGAGTGGATTCATCCCTTCAACTGGATAGCGGCAACGTGTGCAGGCCGGCTAAGCGTGTCTGCTTTGTTTTTATGGCGAGGCTTGTACACGATGTCGTAGTGGAAGTGTGTCTCGATCCACCAACCTGTCACCTGGAGAGGCTTGGTTGCGTCTTCAAATATTTTAGGCTGCAATGGTCGGTGTAGACTGTTGTTTTGCGTCCTTCGAGATAACATCTCCACGTTTTGAAGGCGATGATGATAGCCAGGGCCTCCTTGTCGTGTATCGGGTAGTTGAGTTCTGCTCCATGTAATTTTTTGCTGAGGTAGGCAATTGGTTGCAGTCCATTCCCCTGGTCTTGCATCAAGACTGCTCCCACTGCCTGGTCGCTGGCGTCAGCTTCGATGACGTAGTCGCGTTCGGGGTCTGGCAAGATGAGTACGGGTGCGGACGTGAGTGCTTGTTCAGCTGCTCCACGGCTTCCTGGTGTTGTGGCTCCCATTTATAGGGCGTGTTCTTCTTCAGCAGATTCGTGAGTGGCGCGGCGATTTTCGCGTATTGGGCACGAACCTGTTGTAGTAGTTAGCGAAGCCAAGGAACTGCTGTAACTCCTTCACGTTCTCGGGTGTTTCCATGTATGCACGGCTTCGATTTTCTTGGGGTCGACGTGAATCCTTGAGCGCTTACAAGATGTCCGAGGAATTGGACTTTCTCGAGGGCGAAGTCGCTCTTGGATAGTTTGACAGAAGCGTTCTCGTCGAAGAATCTCGAAGAACGTCGTAGTGTTCGACGTGTTGTTGCATGTCGCGGAGTAGATCGAGGATGTCGTCCAGTACACCACCACGCATTCGTCCAAGAGTGGGCGCAGGATGTGATTCATCTCTGCTTGGAACGTTGCAGGTGTGTTGGTGAGTCCAACGGCATTACCAGATACTCGTACGATCCGTACCGAGTTCGGAAAGTTTTGTGAACAGAATCGTCCGCCATTCTATCTGCCAGTATCCGGACCGCAGATCTGTTTTGAAAATACCGTGGCTCCCCGAAGCTGGTCAAGCAGGTCATCGATTCGTGGATCGGGTACTTGTTCTTGATGGTCTGCTTGTTGAGAGCTCGGTAGTCGATGCACATGCGCAGGCTTCCGTCCGGTTTCGGTGTGAAGAGTACTGGGGCACCGTATGGTGAAGTGGATGGTCGGATGAGTCCTTTGGCGAGGAGATACTCGATCTGTTTCTTCATGTCGGCTAGCTCTAGGGCTGAGCCGATATGGTGCTCGGAAGGTCGGCTTCGAACCTGGTTCCTCCACGATCTCGTGTTGGTGTGTTCGGTATGGCGGTAGCTCGTCGGAGGTCGTCAGGAAGAATGTCTTGGAACTCCTTCAGTAATCCTTGATTTTTTCTGGAGGTTCCGAGGCTTTCTCTCCGTCATTCCCACCTCTGTTGCTATCGCCAGGAACCCGGTGTTGGTCGCTTCACGTCCTTCTCGAATCTGGCGAGTGTCTCCACTGGGATATCTCCTGTATCGTCCCAGTTGGGTAGCTGGACTCTCCTTCCTTTGTTGTAGATGCTTGCGGTGCGGTTTACCCAGTTGATCTCGGGGTTGAATTTCTTGAGGAAGTCTCGCCCGAAGATCAGTCAAGCCCTTTTATGTTGGTGATGGGAGAGCAGGTTTCCAGCGCAGTGGCCGATTTGTAGATGTAGCACTGCTTCGCCGTACACTGGTAACTTGCTGCCGTCCACCATCGTTGCAGAAAACGCTGATGGCTTGTACTCTTCTCGAAGTCGGTCGATGGTTGCCTTGTCGCATACGGTGTGCGATGCTCCGCTGTCCACGAGTGCTTGGAGGCGTCGTCCTTTGCAGATGACCTCGAGCACGAGGGGCAGGCGTTGCTCGGAGTACCCAAAGATAGTTTCATTGATTGGGTCATAGGGTACATCCCAATATTCGTTGCTTCCTACTCCTGAGCTGGCAGCTGGCCGAGGCTGCTTGGAGAAAGGCTCTTCTCCAGGGCCCGGAGTTTCTGTGACGACTGTTCGTCGTTGACGAAGTTGCCGAGTTGGATGCATCCGAAGAGGAGTTCGGGTTTTTGCAGCTTCTTGTAGACCCCCAGCTTCCTCTTGAGCTGCTTCAGCTCCACCGACGTCTTCCCTGGGGAACGGGTAGTCGTTGTGGGCTGGTGTCGGGAGAGGAAGTTGACTCCGTGGAAAGGTCGGCTTCTTTCCACACTCCTTAATTTGGTCCCCAAGTTCTCCGGTACCGTATGATCTCCACAATTTCCTGCTTCTTCTGGAGTCCCTCCCAAATTTTCTCCAAGGCTCTAGCCCCTCGATAATCATAAGCTTTCATTAAAGCATCTTTATAAGACAACTTTAACGAATCCTTATAATTTCTTGGATCTTGCGGCTTTCATTTTGTTGCAGTCGAAGATTCGATGACCCGGCACCCGGCAAAAATCACACGTGTAGTTGGTGTTTTTCGGACGTGGCCGCCCTTCAAACTTGTCGACTTCCATCGGGTCGGCGAACGTGGTGTGAGCCGAGCGGTCGCCCTGTCGCGTACTGCCGACGTGCGCCCGTCGTGTCCCGGCGTTGACCATGTCGAAGCGTTCCGCGGCCGATACGACGGCACTGTAGCTCGCGTAGTTTGTCGCTGCCACTTGTCATTTGACTTCGGTCTTCAGCCCGGCAAGGTATGACTGTACCTTTTCCCCTTCGGTCAGGTCGGGAATACGGTTATAAAATTCTTCCATTTGCTGCATGTACTGTGCTACACTCCCGAACAATCGATGGCGATGAATTTTTTCCGCGCGCAAGGACACCCCAATTTATCGGCTCGAATCGTTTCGACAGGTCGGTGCGGAATTGCTGCCACGTGGGATCGACGTGAACTCCTTGAGCGCTCACCATGTGGCCTAGGAATCGGACTTTCTCGAGGGCGAATTCGCTTTTGGATAATTTGATGTAGAATCGTTCTCGTCGAAGAATGTCGAAGACGCGTCGCAGGTTTTGGACGTGCTGCTGCATGTCGCGCGAGTAGATGAGGATGTCGTCCAGATACACCACCACGCATTCGTCCAAAAGTGGGCATAGAATATGGTTCATTTTGGCTTGGAACGTTGGCAGTGCATTGGTGAGTCCAAACGGCATTACCAGATACTCGTACGACCCGTACCAAGTTCGGAAAGCAGTTTTGTGGATGGAATTGTCCGCCATTCGTATCTGCCAGTATCCGGACCGCAGATCCAGTTTGGAAAATACCGTGGCTCCCCAAAACTGGTCAAACAGGTCATTGATTCGTGAGATTGGGTATTTGTTCTTGATGGTCTACTTGTTGAGAGCTCGGTAATCGATGCACATGCTCAGGCTTCCGTCCGGTTTCGGTGTGAAGAGTACTGGGGCACCGTATAGAGAAGTGGATGGTCAGGTGAGTCCTTTTGTGAGGAGATACCCGATCTGCTTCTTCATGTCAGCTAGTTCTATGGGGCTGAGCCGATATGGTGCTCGGAAGGTCGGCTTCGAACCTGGTTCTTCCACGATATTGTGTTGGTGCGTTTGGTATGGCGGGAGCTCGTCCGAAAGGTCGCCGGGAAGAATGTCTTGGAACTCCTTCAGTAATTCTTTGATTTTTTTTTTAAGTTCCGAGGCTTTCTCTCTGTCACTTTCCATATCCGTCGCTATCGCCAGAAACCCGGTGTCGGTTTGTTTTACGTCCTTCTTGAATCTTGCGAGTGTCTCCACTGGGATATCTCCTGTATCGTCCCACTAGGGTAGCTGGACTCTCCTTCCATTGTTGTAGATGCTTGCGGTACGATTTACCCAGTTGATCTCAAGGTTGAATCTTCTTAGGAAGTCTCGCCCACAGATCAAGTCAAACTCTCTTATGTTAGTGATGGGGAGTGCAGGTTTCCAGCGCAATGATCCGATTTGTAGGTGTAACACTACTTCGCCGTGTACTGGTAACTTGCTGCCGTCCAACATCGTCGCAGAGAATGCTGAAGGCTTGTACTCTTCCCGAAGTCGGTCGATTACTGCCTCGTCGTAGATGGTGTGCGATGTCCTTGAAGAAAGTCTCTCCCTCAGGACCCTGAGCTTTCTTGACGACTGTGTGTGTCGTTGATGCCAAATTTGCTGAGCTGGATGCATCCGGAGGAGGAGTTCGGGGTTTTTGCAGCTTCTTGTAGACCCCCAGCTTCCTCTTGAGCTGCTTCAGCTCCACTGACGTCTTCCCTGGGGAACGGGTAGTCGTTGTTGGCTGGTGTCGGGAGAGGACGTTGACTCCGTGGAAAGGTCGGCTTCTTTCCACACTCCTTAATTTTGTCCCCAAGTTTTTCCGGTACCGGTATGATCTCCACAGCTTTCTGCTTCTTCTGGAGTGCCTTCTGAAACTTCTCCAAGGCTCTAGCCCCTCGAGAATCATAAGTTTTTATTCAAGCACCTTTATAAGACAACTTTAACGAATCCTTATAAACTCTTGGGTCTTCTCAGAGTTTCCCTGTCTCGGCAGAGTCCTTTTTCGCGGAGTCGGATATTTTCTCTACGATTTTCTGTGGTGAAGACTGGTCGTGGGGTGGAGATTTTTCCCCATCATTTCCTCCTGCTCGCGTCGAATCATCTTCGTTGAAGTCGATTTTCTCGGAATCTCGCGGCCGCTTTCGGATCTTTTCTTTTTTGCCAGCTAGATCCGCAATCAGTGGCTAATTCCATTTTTTGTCTTCTGATTGGCCGAAGAATTTCCGCCACTGTTGCATGCCCGACACTATGCGCGTGCGGCTTTCATTTTGTTGCAGTCGAAGATTCGATGGCCCAGCACCCCGCAAAAATCACACGTGTAGTTGGTGTTTTTCGGACGTGACCGCCCGTCGAACCTGTCGATTTCCATCGGGTCGGCGAACGTGGGGTGAGCCGAGCGGTCGCCCTATCGCGTACTGCCGACGTGCGACCGTCGAGTCCGGCGTTGACCATGTAAAACCGCCCTGCTGCCGAAACAACGTCATTTTAGCTCGTGTAATTTGTCTCTGCTACCTGTCGTTTGACTTCGGTCTTCAGCCCGGCAAGATATGATTGTACTTTTCCCCCTTTGGTCAGGTCAGGAATACAGTTATATAATTCCTCCATCTGTTGCGTATACTGCGCTACACTCCCGAACTGTCGATGGCGATGATTTTTTTCGCGGGCAAGGAAACCCAAATTTATCGACTCGAAGCGTTTCAGCAGGTAGGTGCGGAATTGCTGCCATGTGGCTTCGCCGTGGATGAAGGTACTGTTACCACCGATCCACTCGAGTGCTGGTCCTCGCATCAGTGTCGCCGCGAGTCGTACGCGTTGACCATCCCAGACTGGCGAGCTCCATCCGACGGCTGCGAAGTAGATCTCCATGCCGGCGATCCATCTGCAGACGTCGGAATTTCGATCGCTCAGATCGAATGGCTCAGGTGGGCGCGGTTTCGGAGCCTCAAGAAACTGCTGCGACTGCTGCGTCGTCGCCATTGTCGTGTCGTGCTGTGCGCCGGCGAGTCGAGTTACTCGCTCGAACTCGTTTCGCCAAGGTTCTCGATCGGCTCGCATCTCCTCCTGAAGGGCGGCGATGCTCGCGAAGAGCTGCTGGGTAACCTCGATGTTGTCGAAGTTCGCCATCCTGTTCAAAACACGCACGGAGGGGTGAATTCGAAAAAAGCGGAGCTGGTGCTTACCAGAATCGGCGGCGAATTAGTCGCCCCCGGCGGTTTTTCGAGGCAGGTTTTCCCGATGCTTCTGCTTAGCTGAGCACGGGTAAGTGAGAAAAACTCTGACTACCAAGTGTCACATGATCGAATGTGTCAAGGATAACTTGCGATATCGATTGATACAAGGCGCTTTTATACTTCCAAAGTACATCAGGTAACGAGGTTTATCCTATCCTAAAGGAATAGACCCTTCTAGAAATAGAATCACCTTGCGTATAGCCACGCGAGGCTATTGGCTTTAAGGGATTACGGCAGGATTACGCTAGATATAGCGCGCCAGTATATCCCGAGCCTGGTTGGTGATATAATTATAATAATAGGATAAACCAAAGGATAATGGAATAGGAGAAATAGGAAACCGAATGACATGAGAGAAAAAGAGGAATGAAATAGAAAGGAGATATGGAAAGGGAAATTGGTGTAACGGGGTCGTACTCTCACAGTCCCCTCCTCCGCAGCCATCGCAGCAGCCACTGTTGCTGCTGCCGCAGCAGCCGCCGTCGCAGCCGCAGTTGCAGCCGCAGTCGCCGCCGCAGCAGCCGCAGCCGCCGCAGGGGTCCGCGAGCTTTGGGGGTGCGGGCGTTGACGAGGGTGTTAGTCCAGGGGGTTCTGTCGTGGCTTGTCCTGCCGGTCCTGGGGGTGGCACCCGTGCTGGAGAGGGTTCTCATTCTGGGGGTGCTTGTTCTGGGGATGCTGGTCCTTGGGGTATTGTCGAGGCTAGTCCTGGCGGTCCTGGGGGTGGCATCGGTACTGGAGAGGGTTTTTGTTTTGGGGGTTCTGTCGTGGAGCGTCCCTTAGGTAGCCGTGGTGCAGCTGGAGGTTCTGGTGTCAGCGAGGAGCAGCAGAACCTAGTGGTCCCTGAAGAGTCGGTGGAGCCTAGTGGTCCGTACGCAAAGTGGTGGTTTGCCTCAAGTACATGATGACTTGCACGCGTCCTGATCTCGCATACCCTCTCAGCATCCTGACTCGCTTTGTGGCGACGGGCAAACACCGACCACAGCACTAGCCGGCCGCTAAAAGGGTTTTGCGTTATCTAGCAAGTACATCGGGCATGGGGCTAGTGCTAGGGGGACGCAGGCCAGTGGTCCTTACAGGGCACACAGACGCTACGTGGGCAGACGACGCTGAGACACTCAGGTCCTCCGAGTACTATTGCTTTAGCCTTGGTGCAGGCGCCATCTCGTGGAGGTCCACCCGCTCGCCGTCTGTTGCACAATCTAGCTGTGAGGCTGAGATCTAGGCCGGTGCCATGGCACCACAGGAGCTCTGGTGGCTGACTTTATTTCTCACATACTTAGGTGAGCGGCCTAGCTCTGCCTTGGTCTTGTACACTAACAACAGGGCCATGATCCTCGTGTGTCAGGAGCCTCGACTTGAAGGCAAAGCAAAGCACATTCAGCTGCGGTACTTCCTCCTGCGTGAGCTACAGCAGCGCCGCCAGGCTCGCGTAGTACACTTGGCCTCCGGTGCCAACACAGATGATATATTTACTAAGGAACTTGCATCTAAAGATCATCAACTGCACTGTGTACAACTCGGTCTAGTTCCTGTAGCTCCGCACTTGCTAGGACCTTGATTGTGTACTACTATTCTTTCATATATGCTTCTTACATACTATTCTCCTAACACACTATACTCGGTTTCAGCGTTCCCCCCTAGAGTCACGCTGTTCCATTAGCATGCACTTGAAAGAAACACTGAAGGAGCAGTATACGTTACAAAAGAAAGGCCTAATTTTCAGTGTTCACGTTAAAAAAGGCTGAGTGATCTGTGTTTACCCTAAAAAAGGTTTCAAAAAACACGGAATCAGCGTTTAAAGGCTGATATCTAGGGCCCTGGTGTGATAATAAGATCATCCGATCAGCAACGGATGCCCTTGCATGGGAATTTCGCAAATGCTGCCGCCTGGGGAGGAGCATGGGGTAATGATATCAAGAGACCCGCTGGGGTCGCCCTAGAAGATCCTCGGAAGGGCCTCAGGCTGCTATGCTTGGGGGGCTATGGGTGCGCCGACCCGCTACTTAACAAGCCCTTTTAGCACAATGGTGTGCTTTCTGAAATGGTATCAGAGCCAGAGGTCTTGGGTTTGAATCCCAGTGAAATGCACTGCAGGAGTGCCGAGTGCTCCGCCAACCCCAGCGAGGGGAGGTTTCAAGAGACACACTAGGGTCGCCCTAGAAGATCCTCAGAAGGACCACACGTTGCTATGCCTGGGGGGCTATGGGTGCGCTGACTTGCTACTTAACAAGCCCTTTTAGCACAGTGGTTAGCGGCTGTGCTTTCTGATAAATGAGTCCTACAACATCATATGGGCACCATCCGAGCACCACCAAGATGGGAGAAGGAGCGAGCAGGAGGAGTTGGCATTCTGGGGCTGTAAGACAGAGCTGCCAAAAATGCATGAGGCACCACATTGTGGTTTGGGAGTGTTGGGTGTTAGCATCGCAAATGACATCGCCACACCGGGCAACACACAACTCAGCAAAACATAAGCAAGAAGCAGGCCATAACCAAGGATTGGCGGCACAAGGGTAGCTAGCCTGGCTAAGGGCAGGAAGGAGGCACCTATGGAGCATCACTGGGTTGCATTTTCACACTGCCCACTACAAGCCCTATCATGAGTCGACTGGAGGCTGCCCCCCGGGGTGGTGGAGCAGCAAGGAGTGCCATGGAGTAGAGGATTCACGCAACCTGAGGTAGATTAGGGTGAAAGGGGATTTTGCAGAGAAAGCAGGACCAGCAGTAGCAGCAGCAGCAGCAGCAGCAGGAGAACACAAGGGGCGGTGGTGCAGCAGCAGCAATAGGAGCTGATAAAGTTTCTGCAGCATAAGCCATAATTGGGGGGGGGCGGGAAGCAGAAGTAGCACATGGGATAGCAAGAATGGCAGGTGAGAATGGCATCCTGCTGGACCTCCAGACTTGTCAGGATCGGCCCACTCAACTGCACTGAGCAGCAAGCAAGCTGAGCTTGGACTTGCCAACTAGCATGGAGTGGATTTGAGATAGCTGCACAAAAGGAATAGCATTCGGCACCAACACTGGTCTTGATGAGACATGCGGCACAACGCACCAACATGGTGATGGGTTAGGACATCTGGGAACGTTAGGGCTATTCCCAAATTATCCTCTCCCATTTCCAAATGGGCATTGCTGACAGCCAATCCAGTATGACCTTATGCACTTCCAGTTTAGCACAGAGGCCATCGGTAGGTCATTGGTGTCTGGGCGCACATATTGGGATAGGTCTTCTGGTGCCATCATGTGTCTTCTCATTCTATTACTGTCCTTGAAGTAGCGTTGATGTCGAAAACGTCTCAGCTACTCAGCATCAGTGTTGAAGTCTGCTCCATTTTGGCAAATAGGGGTGTTGTTGGAGATACGCGGAGTCCACTATCCGGAGTGGCGTCGGCGCTCCATTTCACGCCTATCTGCTTCCGTGGAGGTGGTGCTGGTGATGGATTGGTTGCAACGCAGGTTTTATGACTTCAAGGAAAGCCATAGGCCATGAGGACTTGTATGCCGGTAGATTGCTGTAGTCCTCCATCCTCATAAGAGCAAATATCTCTTGCTCTTGAGGGTATATGGCATTGCCATGTTGTTCCCTCGCATAGTGGTATCTTTTCCCACTAGTTGGAAATCATACTATTGTGCCTGGCCGGGACTTTACGATCCACTAGAATATAATCCAGCGTTATCTCTATTGAGCGGAGAATCATCCATCAGGAATTGGTTGTGACTGCTGTATCGAGTCTTCTGCTGTGGCGGCGGCGATTGCGACGATGGCGACGGCGGCAACTGCTGCAAAGAATTCTCTTAACTCGTAATGGTTGAAGGAGAATCCATCAACTCCCTCTTCCCGGTAGAGTGTTTCTAATGGGTGTAATAGGCGTAACTACCAGGAACACATGCACATTAGTACACATGTTGCTTCATTGCTGCGGTGATTGTTTCATTTGAGGGTATTCTCCCTCAATGTATCCACGGGTAGCAATTCCTGGTATGCTCATCCATGCCTCCGATGTACGGTCAATAGAGCGCGTGATCGTGTTGTAGTAGTCTGCATCTCCCTCATGTGTTGACACCTCATGTTTCTTGGCATTCTCCTGCATCGTCGAAGTTACGCTGATGCTTGTAACGCTTCGACTTCTGGTAGAATCGTCTCCAATGCATGTGTCGTAGGGTCGCTAGTGAACGAGTACTTGCCGGATTCGAGGTTAATTACTCCTCAATCTGTCAAGCATCGTGACATGCACGGAATGTTTTTCCACACAGGTCATTAACACCTGGAATCGCGACGCATGATTGGTGTGTCGCCTCGTGAGGTTGATGTTGAGACTGATCCAATCAATCACTTCGGATGGCTGAGATTCTTGATGACGACGAATCGATCAGCTCCTGTTACGAATAACTGTCTCGCTGGCCTTGACGAGACGGGTTCACTGCGTTGTGTTTGCGTGCAAAATCTGCTCCTTTGCAGCAAGTTGAAATTGGGAGCATTGTAAGAGAAAACGGCTACTTCTATGCAAACCCATAGATTGTCGATCAAATTTATGAGATGAAGTGTCTCATGGATGGAAAACATGTCCTCACGCAGCTTCTCTGTTATTCCGGGGTGAAGATCCGCTGCGTTGATGTCGATCCATTTTTTACGAAGAGGACTTCGTCAAAATAATTTGATCGTTATCGATACTAGTAAGAAGATACGTCGATTGTGCAACCCCTGGTCACGAATGTTGTCTCTATGATGATGCTTTTCCATAGTGTAATCTCTGCTGCATTCGTGCCATTCATTCCGCACCAATCCGACGATCCACGTTCTCCTGTCGGTTATCTGCTTGCCGCTAATACCAAGTAGGTAATTCTTCGACAGATTTCTGACTCTGCAGATGATTTGCGCATCAAAGTCGTCACCAAATGAAGGAATTCCAATTTGGTAGTCCAGATGATGTGAACGGTGTCGAAGGCGGCTATTCTTGGTTCTGCGCATTATTCTCCCTTTGTGCAGAAGTCGCACTCTATCTCGTCCGTCGAAGTAGAAGTCGATCCGACGGTCCAAACTCCAAGCGATCTGAACATATTCTTGAGTTGCGTTCAGCAGCTTTCAGAGCCCGGGTTGACTCGTTTCCTGCAGCCATTCTCGGTCGTCGATGACGGCTGTCGAACGATCAAACGCTCCAAAGAATTTCGCGGCTTGCGAGGCCCCGTTCCCATTCGCGCTGTAACTCGAACTCGCTCATTATGATTTCGTTTCGCCTCAGTCGATCTGTAGCGTCGGACCTCCATTGGACGGATGTCGTCGATCACAGCTCTGCGCATTTCGGCGCAACTCAAAGAGTCGTGGCGAACTGCGGACTTTGTGGAATGTTGCGGAGAGTGTTCCGCCAGAATTGACACGTTCGCGAGGTCGAGGCCGTCTGCCCCTGCGAAAAATCGGCTCCGTCGATGCAGTCCATCGAACGGTTGGCGAGGCATCTCGCCTTCGTAGGGGACCCCAGGTGCAACTGCACGAGGTTAGTCAAAACTTAATATGAAAGAGCATTGTACTTATAGGAATTGAACTTTCGACTCCATCCTCGGCGTGCTCATGGGGGCCCAGCGGTTGAGCGTTAAGCTGAAACCTTTGCCCTGATAACCAAGTGCCACAGGATCGAATGAGGTTTGCTCAATGTTCCACTATCAATCAGTACAAGGTGCTTTTATACTTCCATAGTACATCAGGTAACCAGGTTTATCCCATCCAAAGGGAATAGACCCTCCTAGAAATAGAATCACCTTGCGTATAGCCACGCGAGGCTATTGGCTTTAAGGGAGTACGACAGGATTACGCTAGATACAGCGAGCTAGTACATCCTGAGCCTGGTCGGTGATATAATTATAATAACTGGATAAACCAAAGGAGAATGGAAAATGAGGAATAGGAAACCAAATGAGATGAGATAAAGACCAAATGAATCAGGAGTGAAAGAGGAATGAAACAGAAAGGAAAGATGGAAAGGGGAAATTGGTGTAACGGGGTTGTACTCTCACAGGCGGGAAGCAACGCGGGGAGACCAGTGACTAGACCGTGCTGGGACATGTGCCTAAGGTGCGGGAGTGCAGGGTGACCTAAGTGGTGGTGCCACAGAAGGGTCGGGTGGGCTATGGAGCAACAGGAGCAGGATGCGGCAACTGCGGCAGACGCAGCAGACGTCGGGGACTCACTGTGCAGTGTAAAGAGACCTGACCCAGAATCATGCTCAAATGTAGCTAAGTGCCGACCGGTGGCTGTGTTTGTGTAAGCGGCGTGTCTCTCGCGGCCAGGAAATGTAGTGGTAAACCCATGGTCCTGAAGGTAACCGACACTGACTGGGTTCCTGGCAAACGAGGGGATGTGCATACCGGTGAGGGAGCCGGAGGGGACATGTGGACAAGGGAGAGTGGTGGTGCTACGTGCGACAGCTGTGGCAGAGGAGTCTGCTAGTGCGACGTGGACAGGCGCAGGAAGCGGGGTGAGAGTAGTACTATCTCTAAAGAAGCACCAAGAGGTGCCCAAGTTAAGGATAAAGGAGAGGGCCACTGCAAGAGGGGTAGGGGAGGAGCCTAGGGGACATGCAGTAGAGGCTCCTAGACTAGACACAGTGGTGGGACCTAGACCCCTAGGCCCCAAGGCCCCCAATCCTCAAGAGAAACCACACTGGCCCTAGGGCAGTGACCACCTCGGGGCCGCACCTCCAGAGCCTCCACCTCGCCCAGCACCCCGAAGACCCCACTACGGCTGCTGCTGCTGCGGCGGCTGTGGCACTGGCCAGAGAGCCTGGAAGCAGACGTCGAGGTCATGGAGACAGAAGCAAAGGAGGTAACTAAAATAATGTGATCCTTTAGGAGGGTGCAGTCTAGGTGCGGGCTCACCAGATGTAGACAGTGAGCGAGAAATCAGAGAGCGGAGGGAAGTGCCCCGCAGTCTGGCCGAGGGACTGACCCAAGCGACACTGGCTGCTGGTAGCTGGCGCTAGTGGCGCTGGTGAGCCAGCAAGCTGGCTGCTGGCGCTGCTGGCGCTGGCTGGCGCTGGCGAGCTAGGTGGTGCTGGCTGCTGGCGCTGGCGAGCTGGAGATGGCTGCTGGCTGCTGGTGCTGGTGGCGCTGGTGAGTCTGTGAGCTGGCTGCTGGTGCTGGCTGGTGGCGCTGCTGGCAAGCAGGCGAGCAGGCGGGCAGGCGAGCAGGCAAGCGTGAGAGCTGGCGAGCAAGCGGGTTGGTGAGAAGGCGAGCGGGCAATCAGGCGGGCAGGCGAGATGGCGAGCAGATGCGCTGGCGAGCAGGCACAATGGCAAGCAGGCTGGCTGGCGAGCAGGCGAGGAGGCGGGCTGTTGAGCAGGCGAGCAGGTGGGCTGGCAAGCAGGAGAGCAGGCGAGCGTGCGAGCTGGCGAGCATGCGGGCTGGCGGGTTGGCGAGTAGACGAGCAGGCGGGCTGGCGAACAGGCGGGCTGGCGAGCAAGCGAGCAGGCGAGCACGCGAGCGTGAGAGCTGGCGCAGGCTACGAGAGGGTGGCAGGAGGTGGTACGGCTACAAACTAAGGCGCTGGCAAGTGTGGGCCAGCGGCGGCTGGCGTGAGCTACGCGACGAAGAGGAGACGGCGGGGATGGGACGAGCTACGAGGCGTGCAATCAGGGCCGAGGCGCACTAGGCTAGGGTGTGTTAGGGTGGAAGCACGAGTAGAGGGTGAGACCTAGCTCTAGATGCCATGATAGATTGTCGAGAGAATTGTGAACTAAGGGAAAATGTAGAGGGTTACAAGAACGGACCTAAGGCTAAAACAAATATAAACTAGCTAGCCTAGAAAATTATATTTGTTGACAGTAGGGGCCATGTCGGGACGTACTTGGGTGTTTCTTTGGGACCAGATTACTGACACTTTTATTGATACCAATTGGCATTACAGAAACAAAAAGGCTCGGGGCTAGCTGCTATGCATTGATGAGATGGAGTGATAATATGGATGTGAACTAATAGAAACGAAATACGTGTGTGGAGCATGGTATGGACCACTTGTACAGTCACCTACAGATGGTGTGCTCTTGCTGGCACTTCTGCTGCTTCACAAGAGAT